GCGGTTCTCGTAGGTGGAGCCAGAATGTGTGCATGTTGCATGCACACGTGTTCCCTCACCAGAGTCCGAGTGGCGTCCCTCCTTTCCCATGTATCCCCCATAGCCCCACGGTACCCAGTGGGTGCTTAGGCCTTAGGCCTTCGTGGTAGTTGGAGTATAAAAAAACAAAAAAAAAATTGCGATCAAAAAAATACTGGATGACATTATCCGTATCTACGTACACGGAAGGTCTGAAAACAATTTTTAATTATGTAATATTCACCACAGGGTATACTTAATTAAAATACAATACTTTCCATTCTTTTATAATTTTTAAGAACAATATCATTTCTTTTGGTGCTGATATGCTCTAGCATCTTTATATGGAAATTTCGTCTTCAGATTGACCAAGGATTCGCTGGTTGAAGTTTGTTAACATAGTTTATAGCCTGTATAAGTAAATTCAACATCACAATAAACAAAATACGATATTTTCAAATACTACACTGTCTGCACCAACAGAAGGCTCCACTTCCCATATACAATATGAAAGAAAAGCACATCAAGTCAGCACGTGTTTTGGTAAAAATGCCCTTCATTGTCCTAAAGATGCCTGCATAAATTAAAATTCAAAGTTTTCATTCCCCACGTCAGCAGTGACTTCCCTATACAGTGTGTTTCATTGGGAGTAAAAATATTTTAACCGTAATGGGTCACTAAATGCCTTATGCTTGAGTGTTTCACTTGATAAGGGCGGCAACATCCGAATATGATGCTCCTCGCAGAACGAAGCTCCAGATCCTGCTGAGTCCTCGATTCAAATAAACAATTCAACTGTTTTTATTAAATTGTTATTTGTTTTAAATGTACCTTTTCTACATACATTACCTAAACTAATTAAACAGTTTAATAAAACAGGTAGACGGTTTTTTATTTTCAAGCAAGTTTAATGGTATATTACTTTCAATTAAATAGATTTCAGAAAACTCAGTTTACTTAGACGGAATAATTTAGCTATTTATAATAATACCTATAATTGAAAAATTATTACGGGTAATGAAAATTTCCCGGAACAACTGTTCAGTTGACTTTCTCTCAGTGTAGCTTCCACGTGAGTAAGTTTGCGCGGGGGGAGTTTTGCGTGAAGCAGATTCTGGATTCAGCTTTTCGATTCTAACACGTCAGAGAGACGCAGATAAACTGACTGTCCTAACTTTGACTCCGCCATGGGAGTTTCGACTCCACCACGATAATTGTATCTGCTGAAGTGAATTAGAATCAACTCCCTGGAGCAAAACTCCAAAAGGCGAAGTTATAAAATTTCCGCAATCACAATGCTTGCCTTGCTTTTGGATGGAAAGTAAGATAATACATTCCAGCGCACATCTGTTCTACAACTTTTGGGGTACTCAGCAACACACAGAATAACAGTGAAGTTCCGGTGCGATACTATCAACAAAGTCTATCCGAGTAAAGCGTCACATTAATTCAGCACTTTAGTATCTTTTCTGTTTTCCTGAGCAATTCGCAAATTAAACATTTTATTAAGCGCTTTCATGGCAAACATTAAACTTTAAATTATATTCAACTTCGGTAAGCTTCAGTTTATATGCTGCAACTCCAGCATCGGTCTGTAATGAAATGGAATTGCGTCTATAAATACCTATATACTATATTTGTGTGTGCGGTATGGAGAATAATGTTTGCCCAGTTCCACAAGCTGGCTTTGTTTTCATTCTGATTGCTATTTACTTGCTTGTAAGTAAAGTTCATATTGGTCATATACAGGGTGACTTCGAAGTTGAGTCATTTATTTTAACAGTGAGTAGATCTGATCAAAAGAAATGTTTCTTTCCTTTACCATTTTTCTGGTAAAATTAAAGTAACAAAGTTATAGCCCTTTGGAAGTTTGAGTACCGCCCTGTCTCAATAATAATATTATGTGCTCGTGTTTGGCGACAACGGATATAATTCGCCTTATCGGTTCATCGCATCGGAAACAAAAAAGCGAAAGAATTTGGAACGATGTTTTTACAATTATTTCATTCAGTTGTATACAGTCAGTGTCAGTCGGTAGTGGATAGTGGCGTCTGTTGCGTGGCTCAAACGAAATAAAAAATGGCACATGTTTATGCGGATCGGTTTCCCAATCGAGTGCAACCAACCCCTCGTACCTTTGTTAATGTAGTACAACGGGTTCGTGAACCATTTGACTTAAGACCTCACATATGGACGGCATGCCGGTGCTCCAAGACCTCACGATCAAATACAGGTCCGCACTGAAATACTTGTCGGGAGGATACTTTATAAAACAAGGTAAAAATTTTTTTTTTTTTTACACACATATTTTGGTTTATCTTCCTTCTACAATCATTATCTGAAAATTTATGACTCAACTTCAAAGTCACCCTGTATGTTATTTTAATGCGGTTCAAATAAGCTTGGTTTTTGACAATACTATATATATATATATATATATACAGGGTGACTTTGAAGTTGAGTCATTAATTTTCAGATAATGATTGTAGAAGGAAGATAAACCAAAATATGTGTGTAAAAATAAAAAAAAAAATAAAAAAAAAATGTTACCTTGTTTAATAAAGTATCCTCCCGACAAGTATTTCAGTGCGGACCTGTATTTGATCGTGCGGTCTTGGAGCAGCATGCCCTCACCTGTGAGGTCTTAAGTCACCTGATTCACGAGCCCTTTGTACTACATTAACAAAGGCACGAGGGGCTGGTTGCACTAGATTGGGAAACCGATTCGCATAAACCCGTGATGCATCCGGGAGCATTTTGTAAAGACTGCCCACCCGTAAATAAGAATCATGTCCACAAGTTCAGCATTTTCGTAAACATGTGCCATTTTTGATTTCGTTCGAGCCACGCAACACACTACTATTCACTTACGCGTTATCGACTGACGAAAAACATCGTGATAAACGTTTCAAATTCTTTCGCTTTTTTGTTTCCGATGTGATGAACCGGTCAGGCGGATTTTATCCGTTGTCGCCAAACACGAGCATATAATAGGCAGGGCGGTACTCAAACTTCCAAAGGGCTATAACTTTGTTACTTTAATTTTACCAGAAAAATGGTAAAGGAAAAAAACATTTCTTTTGATCAGATCTACTCACTGTTAAAATAAATGACTCAACTTCGAAGTCACCCTGTATATATATGACTATTTGAAAGCATTGTGCTTTTTTTTGGAATGTGGTCAAAACTTTAGATTTTTTTAAAACTGGACAATTGGTAATATGAGTTTTCTTACACCGAAGGGTTCGCCACGGCTGCTATGAGGATCCCAAAGAAACTTTGTTGGTCCGATTATTTAACTGCCTAAGATTAGTAGAGCTGGGAGAAGCCTTCTCTAGAGACAAAGGAGCTGGCATATCGGCCAGTTCTGGATGTACGAATTTCGACACGGTAAGGATGGGAGGTCTGTCTGGGGGGCAGATGGCGCCGCGGCATCATCGAGGAGAGCTCTGAGGAGCAAAGCCCATTGGTATAGCAGTATAAGAGAGTTAGATTACCTATGGCCCGCAGGTGCGAAAGGGTCCCGAGACTGTCTGTTAGAGAAGAGTCATCGATCAGCTGGACAGCCCTCCTCTGAACAGCATCAAGCATAGATAGTGTTGTCGACGCGGCAGAATCCCAAACATGTGAGCAATACCAGAGGCTAGAACTGGGCAGAACTCGGCCATCCACTGAAATTGGTTGAGCTCTAGAACGCTTTTTGATCGACAATATACGCTACTGTGTTTTAGAAGCCATAAACTGTACAATATTGTTGCGTCTCTTCAGGGAAAGGTGGAAAGAAGTTCTGTAAATAATTGCTGACTAGCTTTGCAGTACAATAAATCTTTAATTTTAATAGATGTCTGTACTTTATGGACATTCATATAATTTTTTTTAACTGTCAGCCAAGATTATCCAGTTTCAAAACCTCCATACCTCTATAAATATTTCATTGCCTAAAACTTTATAATTTATGAGTAAGATTTTATATATTAGACTTGGTCCTAATCTCTTTCCGGGTCTAATACTATGTTTTGCTTCAGTGATAACCGAGTTGGCCATGATACAAAGCTCTGTCTTGCAGGATATACTGGAATACAGCCCTTCAGATTGTTGTGAATAATTACCACAAATCAATTTCGAATTCCAAAGGTGCATTGTACTGCATAACAGTATTTAATTTTTATAGTAGTATCCTGGCAATTAGGGTATGCAAACCCTGAATATTCAAATGGGAAGAAGAAGGCTGTCATACATTTTTTGAAATATCCTGTCAATTCCTATTCAAATGTGGTGTTCACCCAGCAGGAGCGAATATACTTTTTAAAGGAAATTATTTAATGTTTTGCGGTTGCTTATTTTTTTGTGCCAAAAATTAATAACTACATGATGCATGGTTTGAGAGAAGAGATTACTTATTATGGCTTTATAGCTTTAGGATAACCGAGATATTTGGTTCCAAACCAGTACGACTCTGTCACCCTTTCCTCTCGCAATCACCTCCTACGTCAAAACGTGTAATGTACTGAGACTATGTGAGACAGTATTGAAACCAGGCGTCGAGTGGTATCTAGGATAACCTGGCATATAAACAAACCGTCGTTTTTGTCATTTTTTCTCTCGTACTGATTTTTGTGTACTTATTTGCATTATGTAATTAGCCTTCAGAATCAATATGTCTACGTTGCAATTTTCAGTTTTTAAAATTGCTTATACCAAGATGAATCACTGGTTCAAATTTGGAATTCTTACTCATCATAGTAAGCAAAAACGGATTGGATCATAAATGTTGTTGACACCATAAAACTGAGCATATTAAATGGATATCACAGTATTGGAATAAGACCGTATGTTTTTTATTATCGAGGGTCTAGTGGCATTGCCATGTATTATCAAATTTTCAAAATTTGCGTCGCGTGGGTTCATCTAGCACTATACCATTAAATTGAGCAATTAGTAACAATGTACATTCATATATATATATATACATATATATATATATATATATATTGTTAGAAACGCGGTTAGTCAAACACTAATTTTCCACCAATCAACTTAACAACAATAATAATAGCACAACGATTTAACGTAATTTGGGAGCGGCAGATTATCCGAGCACGATGTGCACTGCTCGACGTTACAGCTCGCTCTGCCAGAGTCGGCGGTCAATCGTCGTTCCCTCAGCTATCACAGAGCAGCAACTACACAGCAGTACCCCTTCGTGACCGGCAGCGGCTCGCCAAAATTTTTCGTTTCTTAGGGTACGAACATAGTGGAGCGACGAGGTTTCAGATTCAGATAGAGGCTAACCGCGCGGTTTGCCGCTATGTGAGTCAAAAACACAGGTTGAAACCTGTCGGGCCATAGTAGCGCGATAAGGCATGCGTCGAGTCTCTAGGAGGTTTCGAGCGACGAGTTTTAAATAGTTGCATTCAATTTTTGTCACGCGTTTTCAAGCGATTTAATAATGGATGTTGTGCAATTAATAAATAGTGTATATCACAGAAGGGCTATATGGGATCAGAGTCATCCAGATCATCGCAACCGATACGTGCTAGATAAGTTATGGGAGGAGGTAGCCAATGAATGCAATAATCAGTCGGGTAAGTAAATAATTGTATTTTATACACATTTCAACAGCTAGAACTTACATCTTGCGGTAAAATTTTAAGCTGTCTCGTAACTGATTGGAAAGAAATTAACATAGTTACAGAAAATGTCGCGAACTCTTTGACCTTCACCCAGTTGCCTTCCTCTAGGTAATTCAAACATCTGATCTCTAGGAACTGCATCAGTTACTAATGTTAAATGTCGTTGAAATCCCTCTCGGTCCAGTATTGTATTATGCAAAATGCATATCGCCTTAATGATATCATCCGCAGTCTTTTCAGTAGTCTCTATAGCTTTGGACAGAAGACGCCACTTCGCGTACATAATTCCAAAGGTGCACTCGATAGTTTTGCGTGCTCTGGACAATCTTTGGTTAAAATTTATATGTTCCAAAGAGCGGTTCCTTCGATTGTATGGTTTTAGCAAATTGGGCATTAGTGGATACGCTTCATCTGCAATAAATACGTAGGGAGCGCGGACATTTGTTCCTGGTAAACTATCTGGATTTGGCACATTTAGTTTGTTTTGGTGTATCCGTTTGTACAAATTGGAACTCTGAAACGTTCCCCCATCGCTCTGTTTGCCGTAACCTCCGACATCTATCACAAGCAATTTGTAATTTGCGTCGCAAACTCCTTGTAGGACGATAGAAAAATAATGCTTATAATTGAAGTACATGGATCCGGAATGTTGTGGTGCTATAACTTTGACGTGTTTGCCGTCAACAGCTCCGATGCAATTGGGGAAGTTCCATACTTTCATGAAGTCTGCACTTACATTTAAAAATGTTGCCGTAGTAGGTTCTGGCATGTGAAGTGGTTGCAGCATGTTCCATAATATTTTAATCATATGTTTTATAATGCTCGCAACAGTACTCCTGCCCATTCGAAAGGAAAATGCCAAGTGTCTAAAGGACGCTCCTGTTGCAAGATATCTGAAAATTTTTGTTTGTTGCAGTTAAGAAAGTTTCTGAGAAGTGGAAAAATCTACGTGATTATTTCAGAAAAGAACTGAAGAAAATACCTCTGCCCCGGTCTGGTGATCCAGGCGAAGAGGCTCTTAAAAAGAGCTCCTGGCCTCATTTCAAAAGTTTATTGTTTCTGAGAGACCAGTTTCTGCCGAGATCCAGTCATAGCAACCTGTTGGATCCCGACAATGACACACAAGTTTCGACACCCTCTACGCAGATGGATGAAAATGATGGTGACTATGACGAAGACGAAATGGACGAAACGCAGGGTGTAGAAACGCAGGAAACAGAACCCGACCACACAGAATCAGTCACTCCAATTCAAAGCACACCAAAAGAACCACGAACTATTCTAAAGAATAGGGCCCGAAAACGGTCAAATCAACTTGACGCTTTTCTTGAGATAGAGAAGAAAAAACTACAATATTTAGATGAGAAACGTGTCGCTGCAGACCGTGGCAGAGCCCTACCAGTCACAGATGACGATAAACTGTTTTTTGATAGCCTTTTGCCCCACGTGGTGAAAATTAGGCCTCATCGAAAACTTCAGTTCCGCAATGAAATTCAAAATTTGGTTCAGAAGTATGCCTATGAAGAGTACTCGAACAATCAGTCCACCATCAATGTCAGTCATTCTGTTAATCATAGCCCGACATATACATCTCAACCACAAACATCGTTTGCACATTCATCCCATTTGTTGCAGGGGTTTAATTACGCAGATCAGTAAACATTATAAGTTATTATAAGTTATCGTTCGTTGTGTTCAGAAGACAGAATATTATTTTGCGTTACCGTTTGTTTGTTTATGAATAATAAAAGTATTATCCTTAATACATAATATTCTCTTACCGAATTGTTACCACCAACATTTCTTCGGTTCCTATAGGCGCTTGATTAAAATTTGTCCATTTCTTGTTGATGCAGGGTGTAACTTGTTCTAATATATACTGAAAGGTGGCAAGTTCCATTCGAATGTAGTCAAATAGCCTGTCGGGATAATTTTTCAGTTCTAGAAATAAATGATGGAATTCCCCTAGGCGTTTCCGACTTTTATTTACGTCGTGCACACTACACTGCCGCACTCCAGTCATTAAAAGCACTTGCAGGTAAGTATTATTGAGAAGAATGTCATCGTCACTGTCGGAATACATATTTTTACGTCTATCTTCGACAAAACGCGACGCTCTACTATAACCATAGGTGCCTCTTGCCTCTACGCTCTAGACGCTACCAGATATCTGAATCTGAAACCTCGTCGCTCCACTATGTTCGTACCGTTACACGGCCTTCCTGATGGCTGCGACGTAATCGACGCCCTCTGCACCACAGGCCGAATCTGTGAATCAAAAGCATTCCAAAACACTCCGTGTACTTGCCACAACTATTATCGCACAAATATGATTCAAATCTGAATCAACCACTACCGGTACTAAGACCCAAATTCACAATTCGATTACAGAATTGCACGTAAATTCAATTCAATAAACCTTTAACAGTGACGGCGACGACCGTCTCATTAAAATAACAACTCTAAAACTTCAGTACTAGTAGCTCTACTACTAACAAGACAGAGACTAATCTTACAATATCCCTGAAGACCTCAGACTTTAGCTGGATCTGCTACTGATGAGACAGAGACCGTAATAACAGTATCCCTGAAGACCTCAGCCTTCAGCTGGCTCTGCTGCTGACGAGACAGAGATCAAAATAACAGTATCCCTGAAGACCTCAGCCTTCAGCTGGCTCTGCTGCTGACGAGACAGAGACCATGTTACAACACCCCTGAAGACCGCAGCCTTCAGCTGGCTCTACTACCGACGAGGCAGAGACCAGGTTGAAGTTTCCATGGAGATCTCGGCCTCCATTTGGCTCTACTTCTGACGAGATAGAAACTAACATTAAGCAAGACAGTACATCGCAAAATGGAACCAGAAATTGACTGACGTGGTTCTTCCTCAGCCTTCAAAAACTCAAGTAAATCTCCCATATCAACATTGGCGGACCACTGTACAAGCCATGATATTAGCTGTTCCTTAGCTGCCTTTGTTATAATGGTTGTTCCAACCTTCTTAATCTCATAACGTCCATTTTCCAAGCACTTAACCACTTCATAAGGACCAAGAAACTCATAGTCGCTCTTGTTTATGTGCATCTGAGAGTCTCGATGCATCAGTACAAAATCACCGACTGAAAATTGCACTTTGTCCCTTCTTTTTTGTTCACAGTGTTGTAATTTTGTGCAACGAATAGCCTTTTCGCTAATCGGTGACGATTCAAATCTCGGTTGCGCAAAGGAGTTAGATCCTTAGACACACCCTTCAACACAGCTTGTATCATCGGAGTCGAGCTTCGGATACCCAAAAGCAGCTGCAAAGGAGTTGCATTTATGGCTTTTTGCATAGTCGAATTGAGAACAAGTTGGAACTTCCATAAGATTTCTAATGGTTCGCATATAGCGTTCCACCTGCCCATTTCCCCTATGCACATCTGGAGTTACAAAATGGCATTCGATGCCCCATCGATCCAGGTACTTTGGAAACGTGGTGTTCTTAAATGACGTGGCAGCTTCCATTATTATTCCTTTGGGAGTTCCAAACAGCGCTAGAACATTCTGCAGCTTTTCAAGTGCCTCTGCAGTTGTCACAGACTTCATAGGCGTCAAAATGCAGTACTTGGTAAAAGCATCCACCATTACCAAAACGTGCTTATAACCATCAGTTGAAGCTGGTAAAGGACCCAAATAGTCCATGTGCAACGTTGAAATGGCTCCTTCGGTTTGTCCACTGGTCGTATGGACCGCTGTCGAGGACCTGTTCTTGTCTTTTTTACTGCACAAATTACACAGTGCTTGACGTAGCATTTGATGAAGTTTCTCATCCTCGGAAACCACAAATGTTGAGCGATAGACGACAATATCCTTTTCAAGACGAAATTTCAGGCTGATATTATTCACTGCACCAACTTTATTGCCTGTTGTAATCATGCCACTAAAATCGTGCAGTATAACTTCAAGACCCACGCGATGTTCTTCAGGTACATCAACTTCTGTGACTAATGCACCAAAATCTTCTGAAACGCGATTTATGCAGAGATTAAACATTTTAAAAAATAAGAACAGATTTTTTGATATTCTCGACCACTGCCGTGTAGAATCTTAGCGTTTTTGTTTACTACTCTTATCGATTATCTAAATTTGCCAAACTTTTTATGTTGTATGGTTTTCAGAACGCCTCTTTGGTTCGATGTTTGGGCTGACGTGAATGGCATGCTTATTAGACCCTACCTTTTACCATCTCGACTAAGCGGTGCAATTTATGTAAATTTTCTTCGACACAATCTGTCACAATTATTAGAAGATGTTCGTCTAAATGTGACACAGAATATGTGGTTACTATATGATGGGGCTCTACCACATTTTAGACGAGATGTTCATGAACATCTAAATAATGAGTTTCAGAATAGATGGATAGGGCGCAATGAACCCATTTCTTGGCCTGCTCGCTCCCCGGATTTAACGCCTTGCAAATTTTGAGTGGGGCTATTTGAAAGGGTTGGTGTATCATGATGGAGCAGTAAATACTCTGGAAGAACTTCAACAGCTCACTGAAAATGCTTGTGATTTAACTCGTGTACACCAGGGTTTTATTTTAGAAGCTTGTAAAGAGTCGTGGGTTCACCGAGCAAGATTTTACGTTAATCGAACAAATGGGGACAATTTACAACAGTTTTTGTAAGCACGGTATCCATTTAACTTGATGATGATTTTTTTTAGATAATTTTTAATAATGTAAGCTAACTATATTATTATGCGACTTTTATGTAGGTGATTTTTGGTATATCAACTTCTTTTGAGAGGTTCTACAAGCTGTTAAAATAAAATGCCTTAACTTTGAAATCACCCTGTATAATATTTTACTTTAGTTGAAGTAGTAGGTTAGTAATTCACGAATATTATAAATATTCTTTGAAATCAAAATTTGAGATTAATTATTCATTATAAATGAACAAGGAGGCAGCAATCTAAATTTTGATACGTGCTATTTTCATAGTTTGAGGAATGAACCGACATTGAAAAATAGCTTATCGTATTTCCTGTAAAAGTAGCGACTAGGCAATCCATATCAATATTTCGAATGAAGGATTTGTATTTCCATAAATATTACACTTGGCTTATTATTATTATTACAGAGTATAAAAAATGGCAACATCTTTTTAGCGGTAGTTCATCCCTGGCGAACTAAATGAGCTATTTGTTTTCTGTAGAGATCGTTATGTATTATGAGTTGTATTATAAATATGGTGTTTTTCATCAGTTACTCAGTAAATACCAATTTCCAGCGGTATTCTTCGAAAAGTGGTACTTCGAATAGTCCAAAGACACGAACGTTTGCCTTGCGATTTGGAAACCGTCTGTATATGATTTCTGATATTTGTTTAATACCAATAGTTTGCACGTTAAAATACATTAATTTGTATTGGAACACAAGAAGTCTTACGGAAACGTAGATGAAAAACAAAGAGCAATCGTGAGCATGTTCCGCAATATGGGAACGGAAGCAGAAATAGGATTGGTAACCTGAGCGACGTGGGAGCATCGGTAGTTTGGTGGTTAGCGCGACGAGCTAGCAACCTGGGTTGTATATCGATGGTGTCAAGGCAATACCTCGTATCTCCATTTTTGATAAATTTGAATTACCCGCTGTAGACAAAGAGCTAGAGAGCATGACAGTGCTGAACAATCAAACGGTTCCTTTTTGGCTTGCATTTACCCATAATTCCCGCTCAAATT